TTTAGATGTTCTCTGTTTGGGTATTGCACCTGAGAAAGCAGTATAGCTTTTATGGTCGGAAAAATTATTATAAGCCAATTATCTGCATGTGACTCCCTGGTGTACCTGACTGCTGCAGAAAGAAACTGGCAAGAAACAGCCTACAGCAGATAATTGCAATATGGTTTTCCATTTTACAGTTTGGTTTTCCTTTGGCAAAAAGGAGCATGAAATGAAAGCTGTTTGGTTTGGTGCGGGGGTGTGTGTGTGTGTTTATTTGGTTGATGTTTTTGAATGCACAGCCTTAAGTTACTAGCGGTTTCTGGCCTTGTAAAGATGGAGATTTCTCCCTCAAACACACCCCACTAGTAACTTTTCTCTTGATAGCAATATTGGTAGTAAATCAAATGTACACCAGGATTCACAATTTGGTCACTGATGCAATAAAGGGAATATAATAAAAACTAAAAGGAATTTTCAAAATTACATTTGCTGCAATGCTCATATAATCAGGAAGATAAGGGGGTTATTTAATAATTTATTTATAGGAAATTAAAATTCCCTGGTTTTTGCTATTGCACACCATGGCCAGTTACACAAAAAGGCGAAAGCTGAAGTTCAGCATAATATTTTATTTTCATAGTAAAACACTGCTACATAACAAGAGGATATCCTGTAGACCATCTGGACTGCTGCCATTGGTGTTGTCAACATTCAGGCTGCCCTTTGCTATGTAAAACTAGGCATCTTTTTTCCTGCTGGCAACACAGGCATAACATTGTGAGGCAATATTTTACTATGACAATAAAATATATTACTTAACCTTTTAGCATATCTATACATATATGAAAATTATTCTCAGTGCTCACCCAGTCAAGACAGTTTCAATCCATAGAGGAAAACCCATGTTGTCTTCAACTTCTTGTGCTGATGTTTATGTCTTTTGTCTCCCTATATCTATATTTCTTTCAGATGTTTACAATCTTTCTCCAAACTGCAAACATGCTTTCCAGGTCTTGCGAGTTATACAAGTGTGATGTACCAAGGGAATTTTATAATAGGAATTTCTATTGATTTTTGCACCTCCTGCAAATATAAGGGCTTGTAACTCAGAATCTTGCAGGTTATCACCATGGTGATAAATGTTATTGTTGTGACTAAAATTTGCAGAACCTGGAGGAATAAAGGAATATAAAATAAAAGAACTGTCTTGCAGCTATTCTTAATAAACTGCTGTTCATACTGAGATACAGTACTAACAATCTTAGAGGGCATCTCTCCCACATGTGGAGACTCCATTTTTCCTGTTTTTCTACTGACTGTAATTATACACAGCAACCGTAAGTAAAGTTCTTTCCCCCCCACTTAAAATGCCTCCAGATTTTTAACATATAAACTGCACTGTGAAAAAGGGTGTGCCACTAAGACGTAAGCTATTATCTTATGCTTTTTCTCTGCAGTTGTTTGTATCTGATACTTTGCTAACTATAAAATGGAATTAAGCAAGTTCTCCAGTAATTCAAACCTAAATGTTTAAGCACAATGTACATACTCAGGGCTACTTTTTCTACACCCACATTAATTATTTTAACACTCTAGACATATAAAATTGCACACATTGACATAACCTTAACAGTGAAAGACTGTTGGTTTGCTCTGGCTTTGTTTCCCTGTCTGATGTTTCATGTACTCAGCATTGAAAGATCTGCAGCAGTCTGGATTGATGATGAAATACACATTTTAGACAGACTTTATGGACAATCCGGTGTCAGAAGAGGGAAATCCTTAAGGGATAATTATGGGTAAGTACCACAGCTGGAATTTTCCTCACTTTCCAAGCTGTACAAATTTGCTTGCTTTGGTGACTGGTCTTCGGGTTCTAAGCATATCATGCCTTTGAAGTTTGACTGCTCAAATATGAAAGATCGTCTCACTCACAACTGTCTAACACTACTGTACTTTCAGTTCTAATTACAGGCTCTCCATTACATCTGCTTTGGCCCTCAGATTGATTCAGAGTAGAAATGTCTTATTTCTGTAGGCAAGGGGAAACCAGACTATGTCTCAAGCCAACTTGAGGCTAGTTAAATAGTCCCTACCATTCCTCTGCATCGTCAAACTCCCTTCCCTTTATTTATCTGCTCAGCAATGTTCCCAGCAGGGAGTGAAGATGAGTGGGCTCCATCCAGTCCTTTCTTTCTTACCATGCTGGAGGAATTGTGTTACTGTCCTAGTTATTGGAAAAATAACAAATTTCACGCCTCTTGTCTCTGCTATGGAGAAACAGAGATGGAGTGAAGAAGTGATAAAGAATAGCTATGGATAAATGGCTTTTTCAAGGTTTCCCCTATTTTTATGGGGAAAGAAATTGAGAGGACAATTTAATCCTATTTCCCCAAATAAAATAGAAAGTCATTGAGACTCACTATCCACAACAGTTCTAACATAGCTCCCCCCCATGAATGTTTGCTTCTTGCACTGCATTGGACATTTCAGTGACGACAATGGCATTGGTAGCACCAAGGCCACCATTTTGCTTTAGCCACACTGCCCTCTACCTTGTGTCATTCTAGAGCACTGTAGTAATGGTGGTGGAGGTGAAGCAGCCATCAAAAAACCTGAGGTAACATTTGGCAGTGGGGAATCTGAAGTAGCATTCTGTTGCTAGGGTGTAAGGAAAGGAAAAAAAAATCTCTAAATATCTCTGTCAAGATCTTCAGGGAAGTTTTAACTCAGTGCTAGTTGTCACTCTTCAGGGTTCGACACCTTCAGGGTCCCTCAAGTGTTACATTGGGGGTTGCAGAGGTATATTTTCTGTTGATTGCAGATGCTTAGAATATAGCTCTCATGCCTTGTAGCAGGCGTGAAGGCAGATCATGCTGTTTCCAGATGTATTGTGCCATAATCTGCCCTCAAATTTACCATAAGTTTTATTTCTCCATGAAAAGTGTTTCTGTCCTCCTCTCAAGGCCCTTTAGAATTTATCTTGGAAGCATTTTTAAACTTACTGTAATGTTACAAGGTGGTACAAGTTGCTGCATTTGTTTTTCCTTTCTGTTACTCATTTCTTTAACACTTTGCAGCTTCCCTGGCTGCCCACACTGATCTAAAAACAGACCTGTGAAAGGAGTTACCTTATGGGACCTTTCCCTGCATTTTAATTGAAGTGTGGGACACCAGAAAAGCTACCAATTGCCAGATATGACTGTACAATGAAATACATTTTTTACATTAGTCTTCAGCTTTGCTGTAAATAAGGTAAGTAGAAGAATCCTGAATGCTACCTATGAGAATTTCTCTGAAATTTCTTCCCATCATCATCATCTTAGAACCGCAGAGCTGGAAGGGGCCCAATGGATCATCAAGTCAAATGACTGTTCAGCGTCATATGTCACATTGACAAATACTGTGCCTGGGTTGACTTAACCATTCTAACACTGCAGAGATGCAAAGTAACTAAGGCAGCTGAATGCTGACAGAAAGAGAGACACTTAAAAATCTTAGCATTTCAATATTAGATCAATCAGCAACCTTCACTGAATTAAATGGAATGGGTATTGCCATGACTTCTTAAATGGCACTGCTGGTGCAGTAAATCAACTAAGAAGTTTCACAGACTTTTAAAATGGAAAGAGACAAAACACCCGCGGTTTTATGGTTTGCTTTATTTCTTTGGGATAGCTAACATAATCTAGTTACATTTCCTTGTTAATGTTAGCATTCCCACTTATTTAAAAATATATATAAAATTGTGAATATTACTTTATGCTATTCTTTATACATTCTTGTCATGTGTACAAAATATTGGTTTCAAAGTAGATCTGATAATTATAACAGCATAATCCCAAGTATAGCTACTCAGAAGTCCTACTGAATTCACTTGAACTTAACTCTCAAGTAAGCACATCCCTGGAAAAGACCCTGATGTTGGGAAAGTGTGAGGGCAAGAGGAGAAGGGGACAACAGAGGATGTGAAGGCAAGAGGAGAAGGGGTCGACAGAGGACGAGATGGTTGGACAGTGTCAACGAAGCTACCAACATGACTTTGACCAAATTCCGGGAGGCAGTGGAAGACAGGAGGGCCTGGCGTGCTCGGTTCCATGGGGTCACAAGAGTCAGACACAACTTAAAGACTAAACAACAACAATGCTTATTCATTTCATAAACATTGTGTGAACAAAATGTTTTTTTTTAAGTTCTGGTGAAGCTTAACTAGTTGGAATTAATTTATTCTCTTTATGCACCTGAGAATAAAAGACATTGTTTTTCTCCAAGACAATAATAACTTGCAGAAATTTTTAGGCTGTGGGTGCAGCTATACAGTGGGGGAGATATGATTCGATCCACTGTTTACTCACAGCTTAGCATATTGGGTCCCCCCAATGAATTACTATAGCCATTCAGTGGACAATTTGTGGGAGTCAGCTGGGCAGAGACAGAGAACTTGGTTTGCAGGGAGCTCCAAAAGCAGCGAAACCAAGCCCTACAACCTACAGTAACGGGGCAATCAGCTAGACAGCCTGGATTAACCAGCAATTTCTTACAGGTTTCCAGAAATGCATTTAAGGGACCTTAGCATGAGATTGTCACACATCCCTCAATCAACCAGTCTGGCCGCATATTTTGATCCCTGTACACTATGGTACACAAAACCCTGGGTCACTGTGAATTTCAGCGGGGAGAGGGGGTTCAAAGGGCAGTCGGCCAGCATCCCCCCTCCCCAAACTACAACTCCCAGAATCCTTTGGGGGGGGGGAGCTAAAGAGAGGCTACGACAAGCCCTTAAACCCGTTTTAAGCTTGTGCCACAGATGTCTTCCAACTTCCCTCGCAGCCACAGTCGTGTGACAGCGAGCCCCTTTCCCCACTTGGGTTCACCACAGAGGCCGCTCTAGGGCGTTGAAGCGCTTTAGCAACCACAGCCCCTCCGCCTCGGTGTGGTTGGGTTTGTGTGTTGCTCGTGGGGGGGGGGGGAGAGGTAGTATTCGCTCTGTGTCATCGTCGGGCTGTGGAGGTTCCCGCCCCTACCCTCCTGCCGGGGCGCCGCTCACACAGACGGGAGGCGAGAGAGAGGGTGGAGCGGGAGAGCCAGCCGGAGCCGCGGCCGCATGACTCCACTCCCACCGGGGCCATTCCCTGCGCTCGGCATTCGCCGGCTCCACTGAAGCGGACCGAAAGCGAACCGAGCCGAGCCGCTCGTCGCCTGGCTGCTGGCAGAGCTGGGCAGCAAAGCAAGGCGGCGGTGGCAGCGGCAGCAGCAACAGCAGCGTCGCCTTGCTTGCCTGCCTGCCTCCTCCTCCCCCTCCTCCCTCCCCACCGCTTTCAGCCCGCGTAGGCTCGCAGTCGCCGCCGCCGCTTTCCCTCCGCCATCCGCAGAGCTCTGGGGAGGGGGGCTCGCTCTCGGTGCCGCCGAAACGCCCCCCCGGGCGAGACGCCGCCGGTGCAAGCAGGAGGAAGCCGCCGCGCCCAGACAAAGGGGAGCAACAGCGAGCTGGTCCCGGGGATAAGCAGGGAGGTGAGTAGCCGGCGAGGCGGGTTCAAAGGCTCCCCGGTTCGGGCTCTGCTCTCGGCCGCCTTTCCTGGCGGCGGCGGCGGCGGGGGTGGTGGTGGTGGCAGGCAGCCCAGGTAAGCGCCCCTCCACCTTCCCGCCTCTTTCTAATACCGCCCCACCGCCACCGCCACCGCCGCACACATGCCTGCAGCGATCGCCTTGATATAGAACAGCGCGCTCCGGCTCGTTCCAGTGGAAGG